CATCTCGCATTTTGAAAGCAGTCTTCCATTCATCGCCTTCTCGCACACGAATCTGATGGTACCCGCTTCTCAAATCTATTTTGGAAAAGATGGAAGCTCCTTGCATTTGATCGAACAAATCATCTATATGCGGGATAGGAAAGTGATAAAGTATAATAATATTTTGATTGTTCGACTATCAATGCACATTCTGTAGTTACCGTTTTTCTTGGGTATTAACAGGGCGGGAACCCCACATAGGCTGACACTAGGTCTAATGAACCCTTTTGCTAGCAATTCTTCTACCTAGCATCTCAATTCAAGGTGCTCGTCAGGTCGGACCCAATATGGTTGCCGATTGGGTAAGGTAGCCCCCTAGCATTAGGTTTATTTCATGTTGTACGTCTCATAATGGTGTTTAGCCGGCAGGAAGCTCCTTAGCACAAACGTCACTAAATTCTCTGGGGATCTATTGAATCTCAGGTGGAAGTTGGTGTTTTGGCATAATAGTTTCTTTCAACACTAATAAGTACCCTCCAGCAGCTTTTTGAATGGCTAGTTGACAATCAGCTTTAGTAATCATGAGTTGGTCTCTAGTTGATTCTTTTGAATTAGTGGCTAATGGTTTTAACACAATGGTTCTCTGCCTTGAGTTAAAGTGTATGTATTAATAGCTCCATTATGAAGAGTATTTCTGTCATATTGTCACTATCGTCCCAATAAGAGATGACAAGCGTCTATGGGCAATACGTGACACCACACTTGGTCTTTGAACTTTTCTATAGAAAACTGGACGAGGCAACGTTCAGAAACTTCCACCTCATTGCCTCGAATCCATGATAGTTTATATGGTCGAGGATGAACTTCAGTAGGGAGCTGTAATTCCTCCACCAAGGTACAAGAAGTAATGTTCTCACAACTGCCACCGTCCACAATCATTTGCCACACATGATCTCTTATGGTACACCTTGTTCGGAACAGATTGTGTCGCTGATCAAGTTCTTCCTTTTGACTATCAAGCACTCTTCTAAGAACTAAGAGAGTTCCCTCATCTGCACCAATAATTGTTGGTTCTATCAGAGACCTGGCTTCTTTTTGTTTGAATTCATCTGGCAGAGAGTCATCAACAACTATCTCCTCTTCTTCGATTATAATGATCACTCTTCGTGTGGGATAACTTGATGCAATATACCTGAACCCTTGGCATTTGAAGCATTTGCAAGCCATGTTTACACCAGTCGGAGTTGAAGGATTCATCCAAGTTTATCCTGTAGGATTTTCTGGTAGACCAGAGGTTCTTTCTTGAGATGTGGAGGCCACACTCCAATTTGGCTAAACAGATTTTTTTTTTTTCCTTCCAGATTTCTCTGGTTTTGGATTGTATATGCTTACGGGCTTGTTGTTGTCTCTCAACCTTAATGGCCAAATTGATAACATCTTGAAGTGTCCAATAAGACTAAAGCTGGACCAGATGCGCGATAGAAGATTGAAGATCATCTAAAAATCTTAAGATTGTATTTTCAATTGGCTCATTAAGATCACATTCTGGTGCAAGTTATTTAAATTCCTCCACATATTCTTCTACAGAGAGTTGATGTTATTGGAGGCGATGTAGTCTCAAGAATAGATCTTGATGATACTAATCGGTCAGATATTTGCATTGCAATTCTTTTTTCATTTTCTCCCAACTAATGATCTTACTTCTTCTCTTTCCCGGTTATGCTTCAAATTTTCCCACTAGAGGGAAGCACTCTTCTTGAATTTAATGGCTATCAACTTAACAATTCTCTCCACCATAATTTCTTTGAAGTCAAGAATTCGGTCGACTGTATGCAACCAATTCAAGAACTCATCAGGAACCATTCTTCCCTCAAATTTTGGAAAATCGATCATGATTCCACAATCAGCTCGAATAGGGGGACGGTCTTCCATAGGTCTCCTACGAGTATCTTCTTCTCCGATGGAGGTTTTATGGTAAAACAAATTTACCTCTTCTTCTTCTTGACAGCTTTCCATATCTCTTTGATCTCTTCTTGTTAGTTCTTATTGTAATCGTTGAATTTCTCGCTGCAGATCTTCAATCACCATGTCACGGACGGGACGTTGGTGGTTACTTCTTGGTGGCATCTTGACTTCTCTGATACCAAATGACGCCGCTCCCACACTTGGAGCTGTGCAACTGGAAGTTCGGTGCCCATAACAACCTCGTCGGAGGTCCGCTTCCTTCACATGGGCTTCACCACTTGAAATATCTCAAGATACAGAGAGATAGGTTCTTGTTGACCTCTGTGTAAAGCACAAAAGAAACAAACAAAAAAAAAACTCTAACCTCGTATCCATCGAGAAGCCGTCGAATCCAGCAAATCCCGCGCGTCTCAGTTCGAAAATCCCGCTGAAATCCTGTAGATCGGCGCTGCTCGTGTCCTCTCTGTTGACCTTTGTATAAAATCCAGAAGAAACAAAGGAAAAATCCCGTAAATAATACCGGTAAAACCATCGTATCCACGAATCCAGCTGCTTCCCTCAACCCGTCGAGCCACTTGATCCACAGAGAGAGAGAGAGAGAGGGACCGAGAGCTCTTACCTGTAGCCCAACCTCCCTCTTACCCGATTTCCAGCCAAAGCCGAGACCACGCCGATCTCCTCCTCTGCTCCGACCGAACCCGAGCCCTTCTCCGCTCTCCTTGTCGCCGCTTCGGCTTAGCTCCTCCGACCGACCCCCTTCTTGTAAGGATCGGGAGTTACGACATTTTTAATTGGAAGCAACACAGGAGCTTTGCTTGCTGTGAAGGTAACTCCCTCCATTTCACGTGTTATTTCGGCCAGATCCAGT